GGGGGGTCCTCTCAGTACCAGGAGAGGATGCTTTAAGCTCATGTGATTATGCAGATGTTTGATATCTCTGCGTTTCACCTAAGTTAATGAGTGACGGGAAGCTATGCCAAGGTTAACTGGCCTATAGTCTACATCTTAAACATACCATATAACTCACACAAGTGCATACAATTCAACACAACTACACAAGCATTGTTTTAACCTTTTTAACCGAACGTTAAGGTTACTCTGTCAACAGCCTGTTGTCTAAATTACCGAGCTAACAGAGCTACGTAAACAGAGTGAACATGAGAGCACTGCAGACGTCAATAATGCAGCGTAATGGAATAATCTCCCGATGTTTGCAAAAGTTATAATCTGCCTCCAGAACCCAGTTAAGGTGTAAAAAAATCTATTAAAAAAAAAGAAAAACTGATTCAGTTCAGTCTTTTTTCGCTCAGCCAAGCCTTCTCTGTTGCTGTGTGAGGCAGCCCGTGTCAGTCACCTCTTTCACATATCACTCACTCATCTGGGCATGCACTGCGGTCTCATAAGGAAACTCAGCTTTTTGATATAAAGTTTTTCCTTGTTCCCAAATACAAATATTTTTTAAAGTATTTGTTCGAAATAAATATTCGTAAAAAACACGTTATTTGTGCCTCTCTGAATACCGTATTCGGGTTCAGCTCCACCCCTACTTCAAATCATGTTTGCAGGCAGATATTTTCATGTTGTTTTGAAGCCTCACAACTTTTTACTCTCAAAATCCCAGTTTTATCATTCGTGATCTGCTGATAATATAACAGAGCAGCTAAACCGGTTGTGTCAGTTTGAGTCCAATGAGGCCAACGTGCTGAGACGAGTGTCTTCCTCACCTGCCCCTATCAGTGCGGGACTAACCTTTGCATGACATAGTGGAAACTGTAGATCTGATGGTGCAGACATATACTAATGACCATGTGATAGAACTGACTACATCAATTTTAAAGATGAAAGAAGGTCAGTCAAAGGAAAAAGAAGACAAAGCCAGTTTTATTATTCAAAATGTGCTTGTTCCTTCAACAGGACATTCCTCAACCCAGGGAGCGTCACCATTATCACCAGAAGGTAAGAGTCAACATCAGCTATGGAAAAGCTAAACCTACACTATTACACATCATCACTGACATCACTGGGAATCAGGCAGGAGAAGAGGTCAAAGTCTTTAATCCCATGGGATACAAGCTGATATGGGCATTTGGATGTGGATTAAAATTTCAGATCAAAAATTCATGAAATTATTCATTCAAGATCCAATAAAGTGAAAAAAAGTTACTTTGTCATATTTATACCAGACCTGAGGAACTAAGTGCTGACACTGATGCTTAGAACAGGTTTACGGTCCCCGTTGGACAGAAGAATTAGCCCTGATGAGCAGAGAAAGGTCCAATCTGAATATGGGGCAGACCAGGTGAGAAATGTGGTGGAGAGCAGAAAGGCAAGCAAGTAGGTCTGAGATGGATCTTCCTTTTTGTGGGTAAGAATTTTGAGATGTGTTGATAGAAGTGGAAGCCAGTAATAGTCTAACTGAGGAGTCTCTGAAACGGAGGATACGGGAGTCTTGTATTATTGTAGTCTTTACCTTGCAATATAAAGTGACTTGGGGCAAATGTTGTTGTGATTTGGCACTAAATAAATAAAATGGATTTGAAGGAGAGTTCGTCCGCTAGTCGAACCTCTGATACAGGAGGAACAATGCGGTTTTCGTCCTGGTCGCGGAACACTGGACCAGCTCTTTATCCTCTCAAGGATACTTGAGGGTGCATGGGAGTTTGCCCAACCAGTCTACATGTGTTTTGTGGACTTGGAGAAGGC